AAATTCAACAAGGCTTATGAAAATCTTCTAGGAAGGTAGGTGGGGACCTTTATGGAACAGAGGAGAATTCACTAATTGTCATCCACTTATAAATCACAGGTGCTCAACAGATCTTGCCGTGGAAATAAATGAGATTGGTAGTTGGCTTTTTTCTCTGTCTAGTTCAGTACTTCAATCCTATCAAATCTATCAAAATTATATAATGTGCAATAACTTTAGGGACATGGCAGAAAGTTACTATGATCTTCCAATTAGTTTGATTTTGGATTATGTTTGGTTTGTTTCCTTGCTTTTGTTTGCATGTTTTGAAACTCATTGTACAAATCTACATTATAACAGTTGTTCACGCCAGTGATCACAATCGAACATGTCCACGAAAAGAAGAAAAGGATATACTTTTTCTTGCACTGACACTTCAGTATCTGATTCAGCATTTCTTCACACAAAATGAGGTAGGACAGTATAGACAATCTAAGACAACTAGTGTCTAAGTTATTGTGTATGCAATGGGTACATAATGCTATATGAAAGTGTTACAATTTCTTAATAGTTGAATAGGCACTGCTGAAGCAAAGAATGGAATTATGAAAGTTACCACTCCTGTATACAGAATTATAAAACGTGTACTGCTCACTGCAGTTCAGATGCACACTCCTATGATTATTACTTATACCAGCTTTCCATCCTAGCCTGACTTTAAAACTATTCCATTGTGATTGATTCCAAATATTTAGTCTTTAAAAAGGCACTGGTGTCTTCAAAGGAAAAAACATATATTTTCAAAATATTAAATTTTATTTTAACGTAATATACATTATACTTTTAATTGTTTTACAGTTCAAATTGTAAGGTGTATTCTTTTTTGTTCAAGAATTTTAAAAGCAACTAATTTAAATATGCAAAATTATCTTGAGTTGTTCATACGTGAACTTAAAAGCCATGCAACACAGGAAAATTAAGTAATTATGCCTCCAAGTTATTTACTGCAATTAAGCTCATTTATCATATGCAAATTAGTGCAAACTGGTCTCATTAGTTACTAAATTACTCAATATGAGCTGAACAATGTAGCACTCCAGTTTGTAATGAAAAATCCCTGTAGAGGCAAGCAGTATCAATTAAGCTAATTTGCATATGCAAATATATTCACTAACTTTCCCTTTTCTCTATATTTAGTTCTACATTTCCTGATCATTCCTGATTATAAGAAGACTATGGGGTTACTGACCCTTTTTCATACCTTCTCAATAGCAGTGAAGTTACAGGAAAAAAAAATCCAGAGGTCCTGAAAAATTGATTAAAATCTTGCTAATTTTTACAAGCAATTTAAGCTAAAATTTTAATAGTAGGTAGCAGAAATAATTTTTTACTGGATTTAGTTGCGAGACAGATCTATATATATAGAAATATAAAACAGAAGATCTCTATTCTTGTTATAATATCATTTTTCAGAAGAAAAAGAATGTACAAGACAGGAAAAACAAAGCCCATAATTTGGCAAATCAAAAATCTTGTCAAAATTTAATTAACGTGTTGCCATTATCTACTTTTCTCCTCTATTACATCCTACTCTACTATTCATAATTCAGGTGATTCTACTTGGAAAAAATTTAAAAGACAGTACACTGACATAAAAATTTTGATGTAATAGTCTTTGAGCAATTGTCTTTTGCGGTGTCTTCTTTTCCACAAGCACAGAGTGGATAGTGCCTTTGGCTTCTGACCTACCACTGGGAATTTCTTCAGCATGATATACAGCAATCAGCTGTGCCTTGGAGACTTTTTGGCACAGAATCATAGAATTTTAGACTGACTGAGGTTAAAAGGGTCCTTAAAGATCACTGAGTTCCAACCCCCCTGCCATGGGCAGGGAACCTTCCACCAGACCAGGTTGCTCAGAGCCCCATCCAACCTGGCCTTGAACACTGCCAGGAATGGGGCAGCCATAGATTTCCTGGGCAGCCTGTGCCTCACCACTCTCATAATGAGGATGTGCATGAGGGTCGGATTTTATGTGTAAACAAAGTATAAGACTCTAGATTTGTACAAAAATGCAAAGATGCATCCAGCCTTATGTGAATGAAAAGTATTTACATTGTAAGTATTGAATTTCCTTTTATCAGGGTTTTTACTCAATTTTTCATCTCTGAATTTATGTAAAGGTAATAGTGCGTTGATTTTTTTGGAGTTGCTGAAGTCTGCCATTAATGGAACAGAATTAACTCTATGATCCCTGGGCACAAATGCTATCTCAGATCAATAACTTTTCTACTTTTTTTTTCCTTATTACTGGTAGAGTTTTACTTTTCTGTTTTCTACACTTAACTGCATAGGGGAGAAAACCTTTAGTATCTGTATCAATCATCAATTGAGCAGTATTTAAACGTTTGATTCCTTAACAATAAAAGAAAGCATGAATGAAAGCTTTCTTCATTCAATGATAACTAAGCATTATATGTATATACATGGATTAAATACATATGGACGTGATTAATGAATATAATGGATCCCTAGACATGACTGACAGTACCTGCTTGTAGACTCAAAATGTGAAAGTATCACAAGATGTACCTCCATTTCTGTTTTTAAACATCATTTTAAATAAACTATATCTAGTTTTTTAAAATCTACTGTATTATGCATATTTTTCTATCAATAAATTTTGAAGTATCAAAATATTAAAAAGCTTAGAGAAGCTCCTTAATTTCTGAGCTTACACTTAACTCAGTCTTCAAAATATTAACAGCAAAAGGGATTACCCAAACTATTAATTCAAATTCTTCCAATAACAGACTCTGAAATCAAAATTCCCAAGGTAAAATCAAGGTTGTTTATTTCACTTGCAAACAATACTTATCATGATATTATTACTTTGAAATTATTTGAAAATAATTTCTGTGAGTGGCAGACTAGGCGAGAACATGGTAGAACTCTATTGCATGACAGAGTCTGTCCAATTGCTGTTTTAAAAATAATTTTGACTTCTGATGATTTTATTTCTACCTATTAGACCACAAGGCAGAACTTTGAAGTTCATTCTGATCTGTTTAGAAGTGGTGCTTTTAAATGCATGACCCAGGTTTTACTCCCAAGGGTTGATTGCTCTACTAAAATAAGACAAAATCTTAATGTGTCATGATAAACCTGTCACCACTCTTAATTCATGTTGTCCTTTATCCATTGTCAACAGTCTAACTTGCAAATATCAGTGGAAGTTTCTATTATCAACTGAGAGATTCATGGGAGTACTTGGATAAAAGCATCATCTTCTTTGAAAAGGCCACACCTCAATAGATATTCAATACAAGGCCGATAGTAATTATGATTTAAAACCCTCAGTTTTGAGTACAAGTGCAATATAGGATTTTTTTAGTAGTAGTATGATGAAGTTATACACTGAAAACACCTTAATTTATCACAAATAAATTTAAAACAAAAAACATAACAAAACAAAAAAAACCCCACCCAAATCCCCCCAACAACCCATAAGTAGAATCTACATTAAACACGTATGAAAGTCACTAATTTTTTAATACGCAATAAGTACAAAACTCAAATATCAAGCAGTTTTTCAAAGCGGCCATCCTAGATTTTTTTCATTTTCATACATAAGAGCCATACTTAATACCTAAAGAGTATAAATAAATCAGTCTCAATGAGGTTTTAGTTATATATAAGTAATAAACAATATTGTAAAAAATATACCTTTGGGATATATTATATGTTTACACACTCAACATACTGACAAATTACGTAAACTGAAATGTCACAAAACTGCTACTTCTTAATTTTTTCTACATGTATGAGACAGCATAGCAGTGTTCCTGACTAATATGCAAACACAGTACTGTAAATACTGGTGCAGATCTCTGACACAATATCTACAACAAAAGTATTTGCTTACAGAATCAAAAACTTGACCTAGACCTCTGCCAAGAGTGCACAACTAAGCAAATAATTTCATTCATGATTTTTGTTCCAGAGAGAAATTAATTCTACTAGTTAATTTCATGTTTTCCTAAAATTATCTTTGTTGCTATTCTGCATTTAGTTACTTTATAAAGATGTGAAAATTTTGACATTATCTATAGTGCTTTTGAATACCACAGCTGAGTTAGTACAGATATAGCTCTCAATCATTTCAAATTAAGTGGAATATTTCTCATGATAATATCCTAATTTACCTCTCTCATACCTCTCAAAAGATAATACACCAGACAATATATTTGCATTGAGAAGCTGTGTACATTGCTAAATAAGAGCAGTTATTCAGTGCCACACTTAGAAAAGACTGTGTGGGTTTTATTTCCATAGTGCTGGGCTTGCCTTACTGCCAAACTCATCACATTTTCTTCTTAACTGCTTATACTCCACATTTGTTCACTTCAACCTAAGAAAGGTTGTAGTAATCCTGGCAAAATTAATCACGCACAAAAATGTTTCCATCAGGTCATTGTTTTTCAGTCAAGTCTTTATGGAACATGATGATTTGTGCCATGGGATGAACTTGTTTGACAAATACCAGACCAGTTTTCAGCCCAAGCTAAGGACACCTAAGAGGGGTGCTTCTATTCATTTTTTAACCTCTGCAGATTGCTCCAAATTTGTGAAATATAATTGTGACAACTTGGATATTACGGAGAAAAGCACTGCTTATAAACCAATGTGGGGAAGAAACCCAACCCTAAGTTGATACATAAGACAAATCACCAGCACAAAATACGAGCTTGTACACACATTCACACAAATACATAAGGGCATTCTGCAAGCAAACACCTACTGCACCACTTCTAAACAACAAAATATTGTGATTCAGCCAAAATAACACTTGCTTTCCCTCTCATTAACAGTTTCCCAATTATGGACTTTCAAAATAGAAGAAATATGAGCATAAAAAAAAATCTCATCAATATAAGTGCTGACAACAATACTATCCAAAATATTGGCAGAAATATGACTAGGTAGATATTTTGATTTTTCTTGGAAAAGCCATTTTTTACCTGTAAAATATGACTTCCCAAATGTGATTCAAATACTTCAATGGCAAGGGCACTGGGACTTCTCCTGCGCTGGGCACCTATAACTGAATAAAAAACAGTTATGTTGCAAGGTCTGCACATTCATTTCTCATGCATCCTTATCACTGACATTAACTATTTAAATGTTTTTCATCTTAATACAACAGTGTTAATTTAAATTTTGCCTTCTACATAGTACATAAATTTGGTAATTTAATATGTAATTTAAGACTCAAATTTGAAGGATGAAAAGTATAGACTTTTTAAAAAACCAAGCTATTTAAATGTCCAATTAATCTGGAAATTGCTTTTTTGTTCAGATATATCTCAGATCCTTGTAGGTTTATGGTGATGAAAGCAAGCAGAATGTAGTGAAAAATACTCTTGACAAAGAGCCTACACACGTTGCAAATGTTTTGAAATGTGGGGATAAGAATTAAATATTACTCATGAATTAGGAAGTTTATTCTACTAGTTTATCTGAGAGGTTTGTCTGAACATGTTATTATTTGAAAGTGAAATGAAATAAACACAACATTAAAAAGCCAACATTTGTAAACACATCTATATCAAAGTTCTTCTCAGTGTAGAGGAGTATTTTAGCATCCCAGATACCCATGTCAGTTGCTGGAATAGGCACTTGAACCTTCAGCTTCTACATTTAAATTATATGGTTTAAAAGTGCAAAGTGAGTAATAGGTAGTTATGCTTCAAAGCAGCAGTGACTACAAAAAAGGCAATGAAATCACAAAATTAATATTCTGTTAAATTGTCTCTATATGCCAGAACACAAAACCAGAAATTAAGTAATCTACTGTAAACTGAGATTTCTTCTTAAGCCAAGGCTACCTTTCCCACATGATCAGAGAAAGCCAGAGCACAGCGAACATAGCACAGGGCTGCAGGAAGATTCCTTTCCTGTCTTAGCAACAAAACCAGGCATATCCATAGCAGAGAGAAGAGGCAAAGTTCATTCTGCACCCATCTAAAGTGTGTACAAAAGCATTTACATCCCAAGACCCTGATGAGAGACTAATGCCTCTGAAACCATCACAGCACTAGTCCATCTTTATGTATTGCTGTCTTTACAGCGTATGATAAGAAAAATGAAATATCAAGGATCCACTAAAACAAGCAAAATGAATGACTGCCATTGCTGAACAGGCCAATTTAACACCAACGGAAACAAAATACAGAGCAACAATTTCTTACTCTTCTATGATACTGGCTGCCAAACATGATATCAGTAGGAAAAGATAAATGCCAAGTAATGATAGTCATATTGACCTGAAAATGCAATATCATTTCTTATTGATGTTTCATGTAATTTCCTTGCAGGAAATTCTAAGCTATTTATACTGAGCAAACAGGTGGCTTCATAGCTAATAGATTCAGGCAATAGTTCATAATTACAAATGGAGACTGCTGTAGAGCTGGGATTTTCTAAGTCCTCCTCTTCTCTCATATTCAAGGACATAGACCCTAACACCTTGAAAGAAAAATCTTCAAGACTGTATTTTTTAGAAAAACTTTATCCTAAGTTGTGGGACTAAACAAAATATATAGCACTGTAAAGATATTCAGTATTCTGATTATGATTGCTGTCAGCATGATGCTTTGTACAGTCATTTCATTTATAATCTATCAGAAACAAAAAAGCAAATTCAGTTTTGGCTTGCTGGACATTGCTTCACAGTAGTCTCCATCAGAGCATTATTAAGATTAAAAAATCCCCCAACCTGTAAACCTGCAACATCTCCCTGAAATCCTTTAGGTCTATTCATTCTTTCAGCTAGACTGTGTCATATTTTCCACACATTGTCTGAACACACCACCTTTCACCTAACACCAAAGGAATTTAACTTTCAATTAATTTCCTGTTTCCTGCCCATATCCTTACATTACCACCCTCTACTATTTTAAAGTGTATCCATTGCATATTGAATCCAATTCTACTCTGTCAATTGCAAGGTTTTTAGCATTTAAGTATCATAATTTGAATGAAGTGCCTGAAGTCAGTGCAGCACTCTTTAAAACAGTATCTTCACCTTAAATGACACTGACAGGTAAGTCATCAGTCCTTCATGATTGGGACCTTCAGTTCTATACCTCAAATGAAATCACTTTAAGGTCAGTGAGTTAACTAGAAAACAAGAGAGGGTCAGATCTTAGCTTTAAAATTTGTCAGTTAAATCCTCTATCGATGACTGCATACTTGTGGCTAGCATATACATAGACAAATATCTTGTAGTACTTTCATGCCATTCAGTTCACTGACATTTCTATAGCACTAGAACTCTGGGATTTATATGTCTTGCTCTTAGTCAGGTGATGTGGGGTTCTAATGACAGTTCCTAATTTTACAACCACAATAATAGGTTACACAGAAAACTATTACGTTTCTGGTAGCCATGCTGCTACTCTTTTTTGAAAAAAGAATAAATAGTACATATGCACCTTATTTCATGTGTTTCCATAACTATCATTCTTCATATTTTGAGGAATGAGACAAGAACACTGAGAGAAATATAGAATAGGGGAAACTTATATTATTTGATCATCTGGATCTTATTATTTTACTCATTTGAGCTTTCAAGTTCTCTTGATACCTATTTGCAGCAGAAGAAATATGCTATTTTTGGGTATATGAGTGCATACCACACATTGATACCTTTCAGAAACATGGCAATCCCACAGTCCAGTCACAGCACAAAACCTCTTATTTGTATTGAATGCATTGTTGGCATGTTAATAGATGAAAGGAAGACAGACTGAAACATTTGTATTAAAAAGTAAGCCCAAAGTTATTTTATCTTAAAATTTCAAAACATAACCTATAAATACTAAACTGGCTTCCATCACACAAGCCACAGCAAGTCATCTAAATCTCTCACCTTGGGGATGGAACCACAGCTCAGCCACCCACAGAAAACTTGAAAAGCAAGAGATTTATTTCACAACATCTATAAATCAGAGTAGCTCAGCAAGCTTCACAAACCTAAAGGTGTGGACACACATCTTTTTAAAAAATGTGGATTCCCTTTTAAATGGAGACTCTTTCCAGGAACAAAATACTGAATTAATGAAATAAATTTATTCTTTTCACTTACAGGAAGTAGTGAAAATTAGGATGTGGAGAAGGCTGAAGAATGAATACCAGACTTCAGAAGGAGTCACAACAGAAACAAGTCCCAAACCCAAGTTAAATTCTTCCAAGCTTCTCCTATTTTAGCACTATGAACAAACATCTCTGAATAAACTTTTTCACAAGTGGTCATATTTTGCATTGCCTACATTTAGTTGACAACGTTTAACGCTTGAATTCACAAATTAATCAAAAAGTTGGCTGAAACAATATTTGTACTAAATATTGACTTCTAATAGTGACAAGAAGATAGAAAGATTGCTTTAATATGTGTACTTTGTAGTGCTGGGGCAGAAGAATCGGTCTTCAAAAATGTTTTACTTTCCATGGCATTGGACTATGACCTTTACTATCCAAACTGACATGTCTATTCCTGGCATAAGATTATTCCATAAAAAGAAATTCTAACTGTTCACTAGCTCCTCTTTAAAATTCCTCCCTCAATGACTAATCTGGATATGCATGAGGTGAAGGAAGAGCCACCTCCCTTTCAGAGTGTCTTGGGGGCAGTCTAAGCATGCTTAATGCAACCTCAGGAGCATTTGCAATTGTGCTACAAAAAGTGGGAAACTGTGGAAGAGAAATACGTAGACTTCTAACAAAGATTTCTATGCATTCTGAAGAGGAAGGATTTCCTCTTAAACACAGTTCTAAGGTGTGGGAACACAGACCAAAGACTGATGTTCACTGTGGCTTTCTACTGGTGAAGACAGAATCCTAAGAAGCAGAACTGCATAAACAATATTCTTTGATCACGAGGAATGGAAGAGCAGAATATGAGTACAATTATCAGTTTCCCCTAAAAAACTTCTGTGAGACTTTGCATGGCACCCCTCAATATAAACTGCTTTTGTGAAAAGTTTTGGAAAATTCAAACACAGAGTTTTTAAATTCTGATGTTTTAATAATAGTTCCCTTAACCTTTATTTACTCCTAAAAGCTTTTTCTCAATTAGCCTCAAAGTCCTTATATTTTTAATTTAATTTTGTCGATTTTTCTAAGAAGAACTTTTTGTACACTTGGAAGCAGAGGTGGACATAAGGCCACCTCGCTACAACCTTTTAGACAATCTGCTGTCTGAAGAATTATAAAAAACAGAGCTCATCTTGAAGAGCTCTAATTATGACTGTCAATAAACTCAGACTTTAATTAGCAAAGCCTGAGTAGATCTACATAAATATGAAAGTTTATAAACACCCCACCAAAAAAAAGAAAATTACTAGCTTTATTCACAAAATATGTAACCACATCAGGCTAATTGCACAGCAGCTTCACATAGGGTTGGCTAATATTTTTCCCCATAGGTATCAACAAAATACATGATGGTGTCAGATGAGAGAGCATAAGAAGCAGAGTGGTCTGATGATTGTATGTACAAATCACATAGTTCACAGCATGGGTTTGTCTATAATCTTTTAAATATTCTTACCCAGAATGTAACTTTTTTTTGTTTCAAAGTAGAAAGAAAGATCTATTGAAATGGCAATGCAATTTCTAATATATTTGCTTTTGTGTAGAGTAGATTCTAGATGAAAATGTATCTTTTGTGACTTCTATGCACAGCTCCAAATGTTCACAAAAGAAAATGGAGGTGAATGTGGCAATCAAGGTGGTTTTACAGGAAGAGGTGCAATGTCATCTTGAAATCTTGGGGCTTTCTGATGAGATATAATGAGTAATTTGGAAATTTTTAAAAGTTGTGTTTTAGAAAAGACAAACACTGACTTCAAGGCTAAACCAAACAACAGAAGATTCAGTCTCAAGGAAGGATCAAGTATCATCAACATTACACTCCAGTATTTCTGCATGCTATAATTCACAGAAGTTTTTTTTAAAAATAATTACTTTACTTCATGTTTAACACCATTTGATGAATATTTTTTCCCATTGATTGTTCCTTGCTATCCCATTTAAGTCTGA